GTATGATAAATTTGGTAAGGGAAGTTTTAAGAATGTGCTAGGAAAATAGAGGGAATCAATTGTTGTGGCATTTGGGTTGCAAAGGAAAGGATAGACAGGCTCATTGTAGGCTACGAGAAGGGAAAGAGCATTTCTTTTGCAGAGAAATGCAAAAAGAAAACTCTGTGAAGCAATGGAAAATTGAACAGAAGGAGACAGAGCTACATTGAATGGAAGTAGTTGGACATCAAGACGCAGACGGAATGTATGTTAGAGCTTGAAAATTGGAAATGAATTCCACAGGCACGGGAGTAGTAACACTCATTAGAATGAGAGTAGATTCAATACATATGTTAAGTTTGGCAGCAGTTTGTGTAAGAGAGGGTCTAAAGCAGAGAATCTGGGAAGAGAGGTAAAAAACAATGTTACTCCTCTAAGTCTGGAGATGGTGGAAGGGCAATTTTAGCAGAACAATCAAAAAGGAAGGCAACAGAATAAGAAAGGAATCAACTAGGCAAGATTTGGAAACATTTTTAAAAAGTAAAATGTGGGCAAGACCTCAGTTTTGCAGATAAGAGGACTAGGAGTATGAGGAGTAGGTATGATTTTAAAAATAAATTTAAGAGGAGGGATGGATCTTCGACAGTGGTGAAGGAATGTCTGGTATAACCCAGGAAATAGAGCTTAGAGAGATGCCTTTACATGAATAAGACAAAATTCAAAGTCGATGAAAAAAGACCTAGAAAATTTCCTTAGGAAATATACTTATGGGTGTGAGCTAGTGTGACACAAGGCAGATAGATGAGGACAACAGGTTTTATTAATGAGACCGGAGGCAAGACGAATCCTTAGAGGCAGAAAAATATTAGAAAAGCACAAGGTAAGTAAAAGTTGGTGAGCAGAGGATTTAGCAGTTGACCATTTACTCTAGGACACACCAAAGTACATGTGTTCCAGCTGTATGTGCACAGAATAATTCTCACAAGATCAAAGCAATATGACATTTTAAACATTTGTTTTTATGGTAAAATTAGGACTCGGTTGTATTATGGTGCCAGGACATAATTTTACACAGCTTTCTATTATTCGAGTAATGTCCTATACTGAATGAAAAGGAGATGATAGTGGGACAGAGGATGCAGCTCTTACTTAGCATATTTAAAGCAAAGGGGTCCACCACGAAAGTCCAAATTTCTACTTTTCCTACCCAGACCACTCTGCACTGTACTTCCACTTACTAGCATGAGAAGGCATTTGTCTTTGGGTAGAATGCAGAAATTCTTATTTTTCTTTGCTTTTTAGTAACATAATTTACCTGGGCCCTCTTGGATATGTTTTTCCAGAGAGAAAACACACTATGTGCAGCCACCCCTTATCTCCCTGGAGAATTCACTTCTCTCTCCCCTTTATCTCTCACTGTATCTTTCCCTCCATCTTTTCATTTTCAATAAGTATAGAACATCATTCAAATGGTAGAAAACTGTATAAAATTATGTCCTGGCACCATAATACAACCGGACTCTAATTTCACCATAAAAGCCAATGTTTGAAACGTTATATTGCATTGATCATATAAGAATTACTCACGAAAGAAAGAGCAACCATTTTTTAAAAAAACCTTTCCTACGCACACCATGTAAAATGATCGCTATTCAAAAAGCTAATCTCATTCAATAGTGTAGCAGCCTAGAGAAACAGAGACTCTCATCCCCATTGTATAGTTCAGCAAACAAAGTATTGTGAAGCCCGAGTAGCCAGCTATTAAGTTGAAGGACCAGGCCTCAAAAGAAATCTTTCTCATGCCACAGTCTCGTGCTTTTTTACTATACTGAAGCACACAGAGCTTTCATTTTACAGCAGCCCATACAGAAGAATTCCTTGCTCTACTGGTGGCTTTGAAAGGTAAAGTAATGCTCATTTTAACTCTAGAGTGAAAAGGAAGATGTAGGGTCAATGCCACAAGCAGACGGCACAGCTCTACGCTAGGCCTAGAACAGAATGCAGACCGATGCAAGTTCTATTTGAAAATAAAGAAGATAATGAGAAGCACTGAGGGCAGTCATTTAATATAAATTCTCAGCTAAGTCTGCAGAGGCATATATACTGCAAACTAGCAAAAATAATCTCTGTTCTGGAATACTTACAACTCCTAACGTGAACTATTACACCCGTAATTAGAAACAACTTCATCAAAGGTTACAGTCTCTATCATTAAAAGTTTGCCAAGGTGAACAGAATACACTGATTCAGTAGGCCATATTAGAACAATGCTAATTTTATTCATTTTTTCTTTTAGATTAAAATAGCAGTACTTGGCATATGTGTGTGTGTGTGTGTGTGTGTGTGTGTGTGAATATATATATTTAGATAGAGAACAAGAGAGGCAGGATAGAGAGGGAAGAACTAAAGTATGTTAAAATATAGAGTTCTCAAATTTGAAGTCTAATCGTGAGAAAATGAGTGTCAAACAATGTTTGCACTGCAAATTTCTGTACAGGTAGTATGGCTGTTTCATTGTCTCTGTGACATGTTCCCATTATTCTTACCCTTACACATTTCAGGAGTTGGAAATTGGTGTGAAGAACTGGTTCCACCAGCATTAAGAAATGACGAGGTTGAAAAGATAGGTACCTAAAACCAAAAGTAGAGACAGGAATTTTAGAACTTAAGATGCTAAAAGCAAATTATTAGTTTGTAGGTTTCTGTATGGAGGGGTCAAAGAAACCAGGAATATTGCAAGAGAAGAAAAGAAAATAGAACTCAGGTCAGTTCTTAATATAGCAAGGATGAGTGGGAATTCATAGGCTGGAATCCGGCTGAGGAGGGTGGGCCACTGGATGGGAAATTACTATTTGGGCCCATCAATAATAGAGAGCTGTTAGATTAGGTTAGCTATTTGCTAACCTGATCTAACACAATTCCTGCTGAAGGCAGGTTAGGGTAATCAGATATCAGCTGGGGAATGTTGAGAGATGAGAAATTTTATCAGATATTAAAAGGGCTTATATAGGTATGGTGGAGGCTTTTCTATAACCCTTTGAAGGAGTTTTGCTAAAACTGGACTATACAAGAGCTGTAGAGGAAGGCCAAGCTTTGGACCAAGGTGAGGAAAGGGTCAGAGGTATCTGCCTTAATTGCAGCTGGGAGAGTCAGTCTCACAGGTGAAACACGCAGATGCGTGGATGATGTGTTCTTAGTGAAGGAAAAGTCCTGCCTTCTTCACCAATCCCAATATTTTTTAAAATAAAAGTATTGTGTTTATGCTTACCCAGGCTTTCTGTTACCACTTTATTCTAAATGAATGGTCCACCATATTTTTGTGACCAATTATGTACTAATACATTTTATATTAAAAATATGCTAGTTGGCCTGCCTACTTTAAATTTTCTAGAATTTATTTGAGAATTAAACTATAATTTTTAAATCATACCAAGTGTGTTTATCCAACTGGATTTCCACCTTAAATCCAATCTTTGAAATAAGTTTCTAGGTCATAGATTGGACCTTACCTTTTAAAATTTCAATTACTATTCATTCTTCTTTATTTTCCACTTGTCTCCAGTGAGTTCTATGACCTCCTTCTAATATATTTAGATATTTACATGAATATGATTTCAAAAACATTTTCTTTAAGATTTTACTTTGTACAGTGAGCTGTGGTTGACACAATTTGACTCAAAACTTAGAACAAGCAACATCCTCATACCTCTATAAGGGAGATAAAGAGATCCTGCCTCCTCCATGTTCATGAGAATATTTTAGGAGGTTCTCACTCAATAGATTCAAAGACAACAACCTTCTTTATATCCTTTACTTGACCATATGTTGTTTTATCATAGCAGCCTATTTGGAAATATACTTTGAAAGTCCAATAGTCTTCTAGTTACAAATAAAGATTTAGTTGGAAAGAACGGGTACTTTTTAACACTTCTGAGAATAGACAAAGTGTCATTACATAGAAAAGGGTGGACAAGGCTCATATTCTTCAAAATTTCCTCTTTTTTCTTTCTTTCTTTCTTTCTTTTTCTTTCTTTCTTTCTTTCTTTCTTTCATCTCTCTGTCTCTGTTTGGTTTTTTGTTTCTTTTTTTCTTTCTTTCATTTTCCTTTCATAGTACTAAGGATTAAATCTAGGTTTTTTTTCCACTAAGTGGCATCCCCATCCTTTTAAAAATATTTTATTTTGAAACACGTTCTAGCTAAGTCATGGAGTTACCCAGGCTAAGATCAAATTTGCAATCCTTCTTCCTTGCTGCCTTACTTCCCAGGAAGTGAGATGATAGTGGTGCACCACTGCACTCAGCTCAAATGTTAAAAGGTTTTAAGAAAGACCTGAGTGCTACTATATTTAGGACAAATCTGGGTTATTATGGGTTCTGCATTTTAAAAGATAGCAGAGGTCATATTTTTCTAGTGAGAAACTGGATACAGGATGCCCTTTTGGGTTTAAAGAAAAATTAACAGCTGACACACCACTTTATTCATGATACAGGGTGTTTTACTTTGTAGAAAAGGCAATTCCTCAACCATCTTACCCTCTCTTGCTTTTCTCTGAACTTTTGCCAGGTTGTCAACCTCTTTCAGAGTACAAGGGGAAGGGAGTAGAGTATAGTATCTTTAATGGAAACTGCACTAAGACTGAAAAGAAGACGACTTTCACCTTTTTACCTGACAATCCATGACTGGTTCTCTTACAGATCACAGTCAAGTCCAAGTTAACGCTAAATTCTCCATCTGACAAATCATCATTTCAAAGAGACTAATGATTTAATTCATTTGGTTGGTTGTGAGCTTCTGCGGTTAGAAACATGGTTAAATAAAATTCTTAGGATTGCTATGCCTAAAGGGGTGTGATCTTTATACATAAATAAATGTCTGTAAAAGGAAAAGAAAAATAATTAATTTGTGTCCAAGTCAGTTCACCAGTCCCTGGTGAACAGCCATCTTCTAGTATCTGTGTCTAAGTTTTTCTTTTCCTACCAACTGTAACAACTGCCAGCTTGTCAACTGGTGCAGGTTTTACTTCCCCATGGCAACAGATCCCTCCCCTGAATGACAGGATTTCCATATTGACAACTGGAAAATGTCCCAAATAACTCCAAGAAGCACCTGGAGTTTAATCTCACGTCTTACCTCCAGAAGGAGTCTTTTTTATTATTTCTCACATGTTAAAGTGAAGTTATTTATATACCTTACAACTGACGGTGTGATGACAGCCAAGCTAAGCAGAGAGTATTTGAAAGATTCGATAAGCTGAACTTCCCTGGAAATGGTAAACTAACGTCTTTCAGAAGATTTCAATGATCTGCTTAAAATAGGTAGGAATTTTAAGATACTCTTGCATTGCATAACAGCATCTAGTCACCTTAACAAGAAAAAAGATAAAGATGGAATAATTTGCTATAAAAGCCCTCAAGCTTTCCCTGTCAAAGTGTAAGTAAATGCTAGAGAGCAACTGAAAAATAGAGATTTCTGCTGCAGAGTAGGTATCTTTCAATAAAAGGAGAACCTTGCTTCTTTCTCCTTAATGGCAACTGTTTATCATTAAAAATAGTACCCTAAAAACTGAAAAAATGGAGTGTTTTTGAATAAGTTTGAATTATAGATACTGACCTGAATAGGAAGAATGAACATTATTCAAAACCAGGGACATTGACTGTCCTCTCATAAATATAGCAGCCCCTCAATTGGCTAATTCAGGGATGTGTGTGTGTGTGTGTGTGTGTGTGTGTGTGTGTGTGCACATGTGTGCACATGTGCACATGTGTTCAGGGATGAGTGCACAATTTCATTTCAGAGGTACAATTACTTTTGATTTAGCATGTAGTTCAGAGTCATATTTTCTATCCAGAAACATAGATTTCTCTTTGGATTCTGCATTAGATTTCTCTAATACTAGAAATTAGTAACACTGAGGTACAGCGTCATAAAACTATAAATTAATACCCTTTATTTAGTCCTATCCATGACATAAATATTCTTTCTCCTTCTTCTTGTTTTGGAAAAACAAAACAAAACAACATGCATTTGCCATATAATAACCCATACACACTTTTCTCATTTAGGACAGCAAAGGCATTATGAGTATGACTATTTTGTTCTCAGTTTGACAGAAGAAAAGTTAAACTACAAGTGTTTTTTGATTACTTGATACTAGCTGAAGACCTCACTGAAAGACTCAACAGAATATATCCCCTCTCCCCTCTTCCCAAAGAGAATGCTGATGCCCTGCTTCCTCTCCTGTCTACCGAGCTGGGAGTGCCCAGCAGGGAAATCTGCTGACCGCAAGCACTCGATGTACAGTTGGACAGCTTCACTCCTAGCCCTCAGAGTCAGAGGTAGGAAAGAGGCTATAGAAGGAAGACTGTGGGGAAGTATATTAGCGCTCCAGATCATGCTAATCATTCCTAAGGTGACAAAAATATCAAGACTTCATTTTTTTTTTTCAATTATTGTGAAACCTTGGTGAGTTATGATTTTTCTTTTCATCAGTCTTAAGAAGCTGGTAAGATTTGGTCATTTTGGTAGATGGGCAACTTTGCCTTAGAGTTTCCTGTCACAACACAGTAAAGAACAAACTTTCATTCATTCTTCATTTCTTCCCAGAAGTTGGCATTTTCTTTGAAGCATTCAAAACTATCTTATATCTGCTTTTTGAAGGGAAATTATTATCCACCACATTACCCACTGGAGCTCCATAGGTTTAATTCATGAGTTCTAAACTGAGGGTGATTTTGTTCTTTTTAGAGACATTGGCAGGGTGTTGTGTCATGAATGGAGAAATAGCTCCTGGAATTTGGTTGGTAGAGACCAGAAATGCTGGTAAACTTCCCTCAATTCAGAGAAAGTCCTTCTACTGCAAAGAATTAACAAGCCTCAAATATCAAAAGTACTGAAGTTTAAGAAACTGTGCTTTAGCCTAAGCAGTTATGGTGCATGGAAAATGGTCTTCTCCTTCCTTCTTGTTCCCATCTTAAAGGCAATATTTCAGTCTTCATCTTGCAATGCCCTGCTCACCCGTTCCCATTACCTCTTTCCTTAAATCCTGCTCATCTCCTGGAGCAGAACTCAAGTCCCATTATAAATAAGTACAGGGCTATTATGCTCCAAGAATCTACATCTTTAAATGGATACAGCATCTAGAAAAGCTGCATTTAGTTTTCCTTTTGGGTGCAAACATTTCTAAATAGTAATTGGTTAAAAATTGAGCTGGGTTGAGGCAAACTGTACTTCTGTGCAGTATAAAGAAGACTTCATTATCTGAATAACTTAATAATTCTGCACTTGGTATTCATTCTTGAGGGGTAAAGGGAATAATTACTGAAATGAAACCATTTTACTCCAAAAGCATATAAGGAAAGAATATATTTTCTGTATTTCATCGCATGCTTTTGGGTGAGATTTTTAAAGCATATTTCTTACTGTTTTACATGGTTTCTTCATAGGCATAATGAGGTATATGTTTCAATTTCTTCATTTACAACCTACCTAAAAATTCTGGCATATTAGCAACAAACTGGTTAAAATTGTTAGTTCAGCCTTTACAGCTGAAGATACCTAAGAGTAGAATAAGTATTAATTGAAGTTGTAGTGTTTAACTTTGTGGTAATCATTGTTGTATAAATTAACTCTCTTATAATACCCACTTCACAGATTAAAACGATTAAGGAATTAAAAAGTTAGATAACTTGGCCAGTGTGTTAGAGATCTTCAGTGCCGGAGCTCTGCTTCCAGCTCAAGCTCTGGAGTCCAGAACTTATGCCTTTCACTGCTTCTGCACTGCTGCTTTCCTCATGCTCACAGGGTAAATCAGGAGGAAAATCTGAATGAAATAAAATCTGATGTTCTCTCACCACATCTAGTGTTCATAACACTCTCCAGTACTATGTCCAATTATTGGAATAATTCTCTGACAAGCTACAATTCATTTTTTCTTAAAACTTTCAAAAAAACATTAGAAATGATACAGAGCTTCACTAGACAAGATGGTAGAAATTTAACAATGACTGTTATACTGCATATTGTTGTCTTCAAAATAGTTGTTCAGAGTACCAGATATAAGAATGCAAAATTGATCAAAAAATTAAGCATTAACTGTTCCTTTCAAGAAACTGTTAGACATCGGCAGTATAATTATCCCAGCTATCCCTAGAAAATAAAAATAAATAAATAATTACATAAATAAAAAATCCAAAATTATCGTATGTCTGTTTTTATAATATAGCATATTGTCATCTATTTGGTTTACCTCTAAAATAGTTTACCATCATGCCATGTATTTTGTAATTATACAATAGAAGGGTTAGATGATTACTTTCTAATCAATTTTTTTCTGTCCCCTATCTTAAACATTGTTTATTTAGCATATACAAAGTTCAAGAAGATAAAACTATATCTGAAATATCTACTCGTAAATTAAAATTAAAAGAAGTACTTATCCTTTAAGATTACAAGATAGCATACTGTCCAACGAATAATTTATTCAGAATATTGACTGGAAAATCTTTAATTTTTACATGCTAAAAAGTACAATTCAAAAACTTTTATTTATAAATTTTTACTATTGACAGACCTTTGGGAATCCATTTCTTATGCATTTGTTGATGTTGCTTCCTTAGATCACAAAATTTTATAGCATTTTTGAGAAGAAAATGTATTTCCAAGGTCAAAAATATTAGCAAATTCTGCAGTGTCTGCTTTTGAAGAATTAATGTGCACAAGAGAATATTGAAAGTTTCCAAGGGTTCTTCAGGGAAGAGATTTATGTAATGGCCTAATCCATCATTTACAACTTATTGAGGTTGCAGTTTTTCTATAGATAACATGTATCAGTGTGGAAAATACACATGCTTTTGGTGACAGTTTGGAAATGCTAACATATAGATCATGAATAGGAGAGAAAATCATGGAATAAAAAAGAAGCTGGAAAAGTACAATGTATATTCATACTCAAAAGCAGGATTGCTAAATTATATAAATCTACTCCTGTAGCCTCCTGTTCATTGCCACATTATTCAAAATATCCAAAAGATGGAAATAACCTAAATATCTGTGACAAATGAGTAGATAAAGAAAATGTTTTACACATATTCAATGGAATATTATTTAGCCATATGAAGAAGTAACTTCTATTATTTACAGTACCCTGATGGATCTGGAGGACGTTATGCTAAGTAAAATAAGCCAGTCACAGAAGAAACATACTGTATGAACTCAAGTCTCAGTGAAATATGAAGAAGATGAATTCATGGAAACAGAAGAGAATGGTGTTTGCTTGGGCTTGTGTTGTGGTGAATAGGATTTTGTTGGTCAAGAGACAAAAAGTTTCATTTACACAGCAGACACGTTTGGAGGGTCTAATATACAACATGAAGAGTGATTGATGTGCTAATAAATTTGGTTGTTGTGGTCCTCATTACATAAGATACATATAAATCAAAATCACCACATTGAACCCTTATCTACAGTCTTTGTGAACTAAGTATTTTAAAATTTGAAAGATGCAGAGCAAGGTTGGAGGCTGCTTTAGTTCATCCTTCCAGTCGGAGAAGGAAGCTCTTCTGCTGCTCAGCCTCTGCTGGGAAGCCCCTAGGCTGAGGGACAGCGAAGTCATTCTCAAGGAGACCGTCTTCCGCTACCCGCCCCCCAGGGGCCAGCGTTGGAAGCCAGCCACGATCTGACAAGTCCAAAGGTATCCATTCACATCCCAATTCCGAATTCAGATCCTTGTTTTCCTAAGTCTTACTTGTGCAAAATGTCAGACACATTTGATCAGTGAAAGCAGCACATCTATCCATCCGATCTCTTTCCTAACTGAAGCAACCTAGCACACATTTTAGTGTTTGAATCCTCCAAATTATTTCACTTTAATGATTTTAGATGAGAATTCTTTTTCCTTTAAATGTCACTTATCATTCCCTATAAGTTTACTACAAATGTTTAAGGAGGATCGAAGGAATATATTGCTGTTTGTCACTGCAGCCCAATATTAAGTACTAAACAAACACTTAAACATTTTCCAAGCAAACAAGGTAATGCACTAAGAGAAATATGCTATTTTAATGAGGATAAAACCAGGTATTTTTCTTTTGAATGATATCACAAGATGTTAATTCTTTATTCAAAAAACAATGTTTGAAATAAAAGGTTCAAAAATTGTAGCAAGGAGACATGACTTCAAGTGTTAAATATCATTCTCTAATTGCTTAAAACTATTCAAACCACATTAAAGGGAACACAGATTTTACATTCTTACTTGCTAATTAAACAACCAGGGTGGGGAAGGAAGGGAAAGAGAACAAAAGAGAATAGAAAGAAACAGTGGAAAGAAATCTTTGTAAATAAGAAGGGGAAGAAGGGCTGAAGGGAGGGGAAGGCAATAGGGAAAAAAGTAGAAAGATATTTTATGGCCAGGTACAAATTCCTTACGATGAATGCAACCACTATGTATATAAAAATGTACCAATTTAATTAAACAATAAGCTACAGGCCTGTAGTACCAAAGATAAAAAAGTAAACTGCCCTGAACTTAATGCATTACACCTTCTCTCTGCTACCACATAAGTCTACATCAATGAATCATATTACTTTCTAATTATTCCTACTTGGGTTTTATATTTGTACAGATTTTGGCTCAAATCTTACACTCAAGGTTTTTCTTTTACTTTCTTTTGTTCTTATATTTTATTTAAGCAATAAAGGCCACCAACATGATTCAGAAATCGAACCAGATTTTGAAAGGACAAAAAATCTCTTCTGGTCCTCGCTGCCTATAATCTAGAATCAAAAAGAATCCTTTGTGAGTTTTAGAAAATAAAAACTTGCTTCAAACAAGTATTTCTAGGAGAGAAGTTACATAAAACTGAGACCTGTCGTTTGTCTCTCAAAAATGCGTGTAGTACAATGGTTAAATATAACAACCAAGACCAAAATCTTTCTGGGTTTAAATCTCCACTGGAATCTCATGAGCAAATTATAAAATTTAAGGAGTCTTAGGGAGCTATTAAAATTAGATTTTGCATAGTCTCTCAAATAGCTGCGCTCTGAAAAAATGGGATAAGGAAGCTTTGCATTATTTTTAAATGAATAATTGTATAAGCGTATATCAGGTAACATACTAAAAACCTTTAAAGGTCACCCCACGTCGGAACCTACTGACCTACGCATTATAATCCATATTTTGCAGATGAAGAAACAGACACAGAGTGGTCTATGCAGGCCCTGGAGTTGTACTTAGGATGGCAGCAGCGGCTCTGTGCTAAACCGCTAGGAGCTATTTTATCTCCATAGCCAAGGAAATCTGAAGCGGGGAGACAGAAGATGCAATTTTTAATGCTAA